TTAGTTTCTCACTGTTAGGGCTGCATATGCCTCTGGTTGCTGTAGGGTCCTTTGCTTCAACTCCACTGTCCTGAGGGCCACAAAAAGGAGGGGGTACCAAATGAATCCATGAGGTCTCGACCCTCCCTCTCCTCCTGCCCTCCAGTTTGAGACTTGCTTTTGGGTGGAATCGGGTTTTCCATTCTGGGCCCCTCATTCACTCCCTACAGCTTATAAAGTGCTTTTGTTGGCCCTAGAAAACATTCTGCTTCCTTTCGTAAGTGTGTCTAGAATCTTTTATGAAGTCACATTATTTTCCTTTTTGGCTGACTTCTCTCTTTGGACCACAGTCAGACAGAAGGTCAGTTGAGGTGAGGCAAATTTTTAAGTATGACTTTAGACATGGTCTAAAGTGATTGCTCTAAAACAGCATTGTTGTTAACTTCTTTGGCATTTGGGTCCCACTGGGAACATAAGAAAGCAGAAGTTTTCTGCAGAAGGATTATGCCGTCACCATTGACAGCCGTGAAAGGGGCTGTTTAGGGAGAGTCCTGGCCAGCCTAGGGCAGCCAGCCCCTCCTGCCTCCAATGACACTCCAGGGCCAGCGTGGCCCATGAGGATTTCAGGCTAACGGTACATGTTGCCCTAGGTCCCCATCTCGACATCTGTGGAGGGGGTAACCAGGGCAATGGGCCTCCCTCCCCAACCTCCCACTCCCTTAGCTCCACCGTCAGCCCTCCGCCCTGGAATCAGTTCCTGTTCGAGTTCTATTCCGCAGTGTTCCTCTTTTGGCTTCTTCATGAGCTGCTCCTACTGCCACCCTGGACTGATTCTCACTCTATGCCAAGGGTCAGGAGCCATGAAAGCCGGGGAGTGGAGCTGTAGGAGTGGGGGAACTTGTGACTACCTGGGGATCCTAAGCCCCCTCAAAATGGCAGCCTCTGCTCAACTCCAGGATATTTTAGGGAGAAGGAGTGCTGGCCCAGTGTTCCAGCACTTTCCCAGAGAAGGTGGAAGGCCTGACTTTTATGTGTTATGACATTTTCTTGTTTGTAAACGTTTGCCAAATAATTAAAATTATTTCAAAACCCACTCTGTTGAGCAAATAAAATGTGTCTGAGCCTTGGGGCCGGTCTCAGTTCTGTGCACTGTCTCTCACCACTATCTGGCCTGCCCTTCCAATATTGCGTGGACTCTGTCTCACCTGCATGTCAGTGTCTCTGAGAGTTAGGTCTCTAAACCTCTCCTGAGCCCCAGACCTACATACACAGTTCATCATGCCCTTGTCAGTGCCCACACCCCTCAGGTGCTAAATGGTGCTCCCCAGCCTCCCAGACCTTGCAGACTGTAAGATTGTAAGGAGTGTTTGTTGTTTTGTCTCTCTTTGTTCCCCAGTCACAAATACCACTATCGCTCTACTGCTAGCAGCTCGCTCCCTGTAGGTGATAAGCCGAGGCTGGTCCTTTGCTTCTGTTTCCATTACTCAGTGTCACTGCTCCATCAGACAGCCCAGGAGGATCCTGCTCCCTCACAGCTCCAGGCAGTTGGAGGAGTGTGTCCATTCTCCTTCCACAAGCCCTCTTGGGTTTGTTCCCAACTTTTCTTTTCCATTAACTAGCAACACTCTAGTTTCTGAACTTGTCAGGTCTTCTCAGCGATTGTCTCAGCTCATAACTGTTCCCCCCACCACCAGTCCTTACCTGTCTGTTTGGGATTTATCCATTGCACTGTGGCTAGAGTCATCTAAATCACAGGACAGCGTCGTCGCTCCCCTCTTTGTACCCTGTTGGTGAACCTACTGGCTGTCCCCAGGGTTCTTCAGCCCTCCGTGGGTGCCAGCAGAACCAGGCTGTGCCCTCTCTAGCAGCACACCAGGTACTCACGTGTATCTGCATACTTGTGGTGGCTGTGTCCTTGAGCATGACAGTCATCTCTCTTCATGCCTACACTAATCGCATTCGTCATGTTTGACTCTCACCCAGGAGGCTGTCACTTGCCTGCTTACCACGAGCCCCAGTACTGTTTGCTCTGCCCTCTTCGGAGCTCACACGGACTTGGTCTTCCTCTCTTTTCATTTCACCCAGCTGTGTACTGTAAGGTTTCCTTGCCTCTTCCCCCTTCTCTTGATTAGTTCCTTGATCAGGAAAACTGTCTCTGCCAGCTGCATATTCCCAGAAAGCCTAGTGCAGTGCATTGTGTACAGTAGATACCCTGTAAACTTTGTAAAATGAATTGCAGATTTTTTTTTTTTAAATTTGACAAGAGGAATAGAGCAAGAGAGAGCAAGCAAGCTGCCAGGTCCAGGACTCAAACCATGGTCGGCCATGTGGGAGTCCAGTACCCTTAACCATCACGCTATCTGCAGGCTCCAGTTGAAGATTTTTCTTAAAGTGGAGGATGGCTGCATCTAGAGGTCTCAAACCAAGATATTAAAAGTGAAGGCAGGGGCCAGCCTACAGCGCAACAGTTAACAGTGTGCAGAGGAAGCCAGATCCCACATGGCCAGCCAGGGTTCAAGTCCCAGCCCCAGTGGCTTGAAAAACATTGCTGGGTATGTGCACATGCCCAGGATCCTGACAAGGTGGAGAATTAGAGGAAAAAGGATTACAGCTTCTCACCAAACTGACCAGGCCCAGAAGTGGGTGCTTGTTCCCACCTTACCATGTGCACATGCCCTCTGGCATTTTAAAAAAATAAAACCGCTTGATTATTTAGAAGGTTTACCAGAACACCTGGAGAAAGTAGCAAGCTAGTGAAAGGGTTATTTTGTCTCTCCCCAATTCTAGGATGCAGTTTTGAGAAGAGGGACAGACATGGTTTGGTGTCTTGTCCTCAAGCAATGCCTTTTCCACAGTGTCCCATGGAAGCCTGGATTCCGTGCCAGGGGCAGGAAAGAATGGGCAAAGCCTCTTGGGCACCCTGGCTTAGAGAGTCCTGCACTGTTCCTCTTGCCCAGAAGAACAAGTTGTCCTCTGCTCACATCATTGGCAGGCCTGGGAGTTTCCCACAAGCCATCTGTGTCTGTTCTGCCTTTCCTGTCTCTCTTTTTGCCGCATTGTGTTTTGTTAACTAGTGCTCAGACTAGCGACTGCTCTTGCGTCAAGGATTGATCTGACTGGCTTTCCTAGGAAGAGAATCTACTCATTTCTTTTCATAAGTGTTTTTTCTTCCTGCGTTGCACAGGTTACCCAGAGCCCAAGCCATATGCAGTCGTAGCTCTTACAGAACTGAGTTCTTTGTAAGATGTGTATTTCCTGAGTTCACACTTACCACTGCAAGTGGTCACTGCTCTGATTGGAGCTGTGTAGCTTGGAGCACTTCTTTTCCTTTGGGGTCCTACTTCCATGCCAGTACTCCCTGTGGCCTTTAGTTCCTTGTCCCTAAGAGAGAGTAGAAGCCATTAAGCCCTATCAGTTGTTTTTTCTTTCTTTTTTTTTTTTATTAGCTCCTCTTTGAAGCTTTTTAAGCATTTTACAAGGCAGATCCTATTAGATTGCTTAGAACCTTTTGAAGCCTCCTCCTGCACCATCATCATTTTCATTTGAATCTATACTGAGACTTTACAGCTTTGGATACCTGGCATTGGCAGGGTGGCCACCTCCAAACACCACCTTTTCATGTCTGCACCTTCAACAAGGTGTGCTTTTGATTTGCTCTGTAAATTCAGCTCCAAAGCAATTTCTATCAAAACAGCATTACTCTTGTCTTGTGCTCACAGATCACACTTGGAAAGGGGTGCTTGGGGACTGCCGGAAGTTGTCACAAGTCTACTTATAGATAACTTGATCTAAATAAATACAAAAATAAATCTTTTATTCAAGCCAATTTTCCTTTGAAATGGGAAATTAAATTTGCTTAAGTACTTTTGAAATTGAGAACCGTACTCTGGCCATGAAAAATGAATTATCCTGTACTCATCTTGGGTCAGGAAGTGATCAGAACACTTTCTTGGCCATTTTGTGAAAGAAGATTTAGTTTTAAACATCTTGATAGGAACTCAGCACCTGACTTCCTAACTGATAGAAATTCAGAGGATTTATATGAACACATTCCATGAATGTGTGGCAGCCCTTGTTTTCTGTGTAGCAACAGATTCATAGTCATTAAGTGTATTTCAGAATGGTGGCTGGGAGGGGAGTAGCCCAAAGCAAAAGCTTTTCATTTAGAACTTTGATATCTTTGCTGCATTAAGAAAAGTGACCAGGCCAGCCCATGGCCCAGTGGTTACATGAGCTGGATCCCACCTGGCTCACCTTGTGGTTCAAGTCTCACAGCCAGTGGCTTGAAAAAGATGTTGGGCATGTGTGCATGTGTGCCCAGAATCCTGAAAGGGAGGTGCAATGGAGAAGTGATTGCTGTATGACCATTCCCGTGGGAGTGCTTTTCCATTCCCCCCTCCCTATTTCTTTTCAGTGAGTACACACTCCCTCTGGCAAATCTTAAAAAAAAAAAAAAAAAAAAAAAAAGATACCACCTTTGTTTTTTCTAGAGCCAGAATATAGAACTTTTAAGGTTTTTACCCTCATTGCTTCTTCACTCAGATCTTCAAAAATAATGAGTCTCCTTTTTCTCTCTGTGGTCTTGTCAGAGAGCGGGAATCCTAGCAAGCTGGTCAGGTCTCACAGAAAAATGGCACAGCTGTTCCTAAAAGTAGCCCCATTCATAAGAGGCTTGCTGTCCACAACTGCAATGTTGGAGAAAGGAACACTATTTTATAAAGAGCTCCTTTTCTTTAAAAAGGAAAGAAAAATACATGGTGTTTACCGAAAAGAAAACTGGAACTTTCAGCTTTCTCTCAGGGGCCATGTCTGAAATGGAAGTGGGGAAGGCCATAAATCCACACAAGCAATTGCATCTTTAAGGCATGATTCATACTGTCCAGGATGGAAAATCCAGCTAGTTAAGCAAGATCAGCCAGAAAGCCCGACAGACTCCTCTGCCAGGGCTGATGCCTGCTGTCTTGTGACATACTTGTTGTATACGAATGAATGATTGACTCTCCCCTCTTTCTCTCTCTTAGTTCATGACCAAGAACCCCACTATGCGCTTGGGCAGCCTGACTCAGGGAGGTGAGCACGCTATCTTGAGACATCCTTTTTTTAAGGAAATTGACTGGGCCCAGCTGAACCATCGCCAACTGGAGCCACCTTTCAGACCCAGAATTGTAAGTGTCAAAGACCACATGTCATATGTCACCTGTTTCACCTCCATTTGCCATGGCCCTTGTGGAATGACAGACTGAAAATTAAATCTGACACTTACAAGGCAATCTCCCCCGAGGGGAATGTTGGGCTCTTTGTATCTGTAATGTCCCTCCATGTGCCCAGGTTTATGTTCTCACAGAGTTTTCACTTCCCATCCTCCCCTAACCTAAGCTAAAATATCCTAGCGTCTAAGTGATCTCAAACTTCCCAGGTTTCCAAGAAAGGTGTGGCTAACTAAGAAAGTCATTATTCTTTCTTTCTTTTTTTTTTTTTTACAAATTATTTTATGTGTCTTCCTTCCTTCCCTCCCTTCCTTCCTTCCTTCCTTCCTTCCTTCCTTTCTTTCTTTCTTTCTTTCTTACCAGAGAGGGAGGGAGGGAGAGGGAGAGAGAGAAAGCCGCCAGGTCTGTGACCCAAACTGCAGTCAGCCATGTGGGAGTCCAGTGCCCTTAATCACCATGCCACCTGCCAGCCCTGAAAGTCATTATTCTTAACCAGTTTCCTCATGCTTCTGAATCAGGGCACCTTTCATGCCTTCTCCAAACTCCTAAGAAATTAGAGAGAGTGCAAAATGTTACTCACTTCACGGACGCTGGCTTATTGGCTTGGAGAGCCTGGGGCTGTAATAGCTACTGTGGCACGGAGCTCAGGCCGAAACAAGCCTAGCCTCCTTTCACTGTCTCTCCAAATCATGCAGCTGAGTGAGTGGCATTCCAGAGGGTAGTCCAGCTTCTGGTCTGCAAGCTAAGTTCTTGCTCATCTGTGGGTCAAGAGAGCCACAGGACTGGGACCAGCAGTTAGCATAATGGCTATGTCACTGGACTCCTACATAGTCGACCGCGGTTCGCTTTCCGGACACGGTGGCTTAAAACTCATGCCGGGCATGTGTGCGTGCGTGCCCAAGATCCCAAGAGGAGAATGGAGGAGAAGGAATTGTGGCATGGCCATCCCCCCTGGGGGGCAATTTCTCACTTTCTGTCTTTCTGTCTCTCTGTCTCTCTCTGTCTGTCTGGTGAGCACACACGCCCTATAGCAAAAACCTCTTTTTAAAAAAAGAGAGAGAGAGAAGGGGGAAGGTAGGATCATGAGTTCTAGAGTTACAGGGAGGAAAGGTGGTCCCAAAGTGGATAGAGAAGTATCATTGAATCAGGTAAGAGAAGTGAGAGGTCTAACACTAGTGGGAAGGACCTCTTCAGCATTCATTTGTAAGGGTGTAGAATATCCACAAACATTCAGCAAGCTTAACCTGCAACAGCTTGCTAGGCTGTTGGACACCAGATCCATAGAGTTAAAGTGGTTTCCTTCAGTGGGCACCTCGCTGCAGGCTCCTCTGGGATTCGGGGAAGTTTTGCTTCCAGAAGCTGAACCCTGTAGTCCTGATCACACAGCTGGCCCAGCAAGACATACTGCATCTGACTGGTGAGTAAAATGACAGGAGGTTGTGTCCTGAGCTCAGCATTTCCAAGAAGTCTTTCGAGATCGTCTCTTCACATATATAGAACTATGTACATCCAACAGGTGGGGCAAGCGTGAATGTGTTCAGCCTCTGTTGACAAACAGGAGCCTTTGCAACACTCAGTTAGGCACAAGGGCCTCACTGGGAAGTGGCACCTCAGTGCAATGGAGAGTGAGGGTGAGCAGGCCAGCTGGTTTGAGTGATCAAATTAATTCCTTAGCCTCCCAGCATAAGGCCAGCCTGCACAGCAAGATTTTCATGGGATTAGTGAATTGGTGGTTACCAAATGCCATAATAACACACAATGCAGTGGAATTGCTATAAAGCACTATTTAATCATAATGATCATAACTGTAAACAATGCTACTGAACAAGCTACAGTGCAGTTCTCTGAACTCATTGGAATGGGCTGAGTTCCACATAAGATGAGTTAGCCACAAGTGCATAAAATCTGTTTCCTTTTTTTTTTTTTTTGACAGAAATCCCGAGAAGATGTCAGTAATTTTGACCCTGACTTTATAAAGGAAGAGCCAGTTTTAACTCCAATTGATGAGGGACATCTTCCTATGATTAACCAAGATGAGTTTAGAAACTTTTCCTATGTGTCTCCAGAATTGCAACCATGAGATGAGAGAGATGGTCTGAGAACCAAAAAGGAAAAGAGATTTTCCAGGAATTTCCTTTGTGGGAATTCTCTAGCATCTGCCTTAGAACAAGAACCTTACCTTCAAGGAGCAAGAAGAGAAGCCCATGAAGGTTGGAACTTCAAGAGATCAATTATTTCAAGTCCAGAGGGAGTCACAGTACTGGAAATAGTTGATACTGAAAGGAGATTTCATGAAGTTTCCTGTTCAACCTGTGAGTTTCCGTGGCTATTGCAAGCTTGGGGCAGTAACAAGAGCCAAGAGGAGAGAAGGCATGAAGAAGAAATTAGATCCAAGAAATTCTGAGCCAAACAGGCTTTTTTACTTCAAGAGATAAGTGAAGACTTTCTATGGATGACTCTGCACACTTCTTTAAGCCAGTGAACTCCTCACACAGTCCAGGAGAAGTCTTTAAATGCTAATGAAGAACTTACAGGTCTTTTTTAAGGAAATGCATAGCTTTGCAAATAGGATGATTTTTCTCTGATGAAACAAAAAGTGGTATCTATAAAACTCACAACTTAAAGCCCAATCTTACAAAAACAGAGGCCGGGCACCAGGACAACAGCTACCACTTATTCTCTGTTCCTTGCCTTCATTTAAAAGATATTTATTGACTGTCCAGTGAGAAGGCATCACAATACCTAGTCGACAACAGATTTGTGTTCAGGAAACTTTCATTCATTCTGGATCAATGACTATCTGAATGGTATTTGCGATCTGTGAAATGCCTCTCCACATTGCAAATGTCACAGTTCTTTTTCTGCACATAACATTTTTTCTCAGTAGGGTCACCGCCATGACAGCTCAGTCAAGTGAGCTACAGGTGCTTGCCATCTGCTGACCTGTGGAATCTGATTGTGCCCATATTGCTCCAGACTCATCCGTGAAAAATTGCATGCCACTCATACCAGTGACCAGGTTGATGGCTTATATGTTAGCAGTTTATTTATGTTTTCAGAGATAAAGATGTTTGTTTGATATACACTTCAATAATTAGAAATGGATCTTGTATACAAAGTTGGACCTTTAATATGTACCCATGTATGCTGTTGGACAATTTTATCTGTCTGGAAATAAATACATTTTTTAGCAAAAGGAAAAAATTTGTCTAGAAAGATTTGTCCTCTTGCCACTAAGATAAACAGTTTCATCAAGTAAAAAGCTTTGAATGGAATGGAGAGAACTCTTAAAGAAAATTCCTGAGAGGAGAGTTTGATATAAGCTTCTATGTATTCTAGAAAAGAATAATCTCTTACTGACCAAAACTTCTGTAATAACTGCTAAGCATGGTTACAACAGACTAACCCTTGAAGTCTCAGCAGCTGGACATGACACATATTTATTTCTCATTCACATAAAGTTGAATATAGATTTAATGGCCCTTGTACACCTTAGAACTATGACATGGGAAATGTGGCATCTGAGGTTGCTGGAGAAAGGGTAGAAAGGCATGAGGCGGTGTTGCTGCTTCATGACCTCTCCTCACATTTGTTTGGGTAGTACATGGCTTCCCTCTAACTACAGATGGGATGGGAGAGTTATAGAACAGCTTTGGCTTAGCTGGCTAGTACTGGTGGTCTCTCTGCAGGTTCTTTTTCTTATCAAGGAGAAAAATTACTTTTGAATGGCTAGAGTAACTAGGATTCTCCCTGTCTCCATGAGGTATGCAGGTTATTCCATCTCTGTTTCCACTATTGACGGTGTGAACTATGGTGCATTTTATAAATGAAAAGAAAAGAGAGACTCAGAGTGGTTGGGTTAGTTGGTTTCCCAGAAATGTCAGACAGTATGGAGTGGATCCAGGTCTAGAGTATAAATCTTCAAAGTTCAATCCAACAGACTTCTATGAACGAGAAGGATTATTCTGACTTTGAGGATGTTCAACCTTTGTAACTGCTTTGTAGCTCTGGGCCTTCTGCTCCATGGAGTTGATTAGCTTCTTGGTGTGGTTTACTGGTACTTGGTAAAGAACTGGAGAATAAAGCATGCCTCCTGTGTCATTCACAAAATTCATAGTAGCCATGCGAAGGACCCAAAGTGTTCTCTTTGGTAAATTTGTGCAATCACTCAGCAGCTTCCCTCCTTACAGTCTATCCTAAGCCTGCTGCCTGGGTGCCCTGTTTAAGTCCGTTCTTTGGGAGATCATTCCAGACCTGTCAGACACATTGTCTAATAACTAATGATTTTACTATGATGGGATTCCTGGTACTTCTTCTCATCCCTCTTTTGCATGCAAGGAGAAAGAATGTACAGAATATTTACTGAAAGCTAAGAGACTCCTATGCCTTGTCAAAGTTCTGCATCACATCTTTTATCAGTTCTCCTAAACCTCCTCTCCCCTTCTGAGGGATCACAAGGCTGCCATGCCCTCACTTCCTGAGTGAGCAGCAAGCTGTTCAGTCAGCAGATAGTGAGTCTACAAGCACTGCTGAGTTCTCTGAGCTCAATGGGCAGCATGGAGGTCAAGATGAGGTCACATCATGACCTTTCACTCCCTTTCTTAGGACCATCTTGCCTCTTGGATCCATACTCTTGAGACATCCCCAATTCTTACCATCCTACTCTCCTCCCCAACCATCCTCATCCTCACACCCTTTTTGTCTCAGCTCTCTCAAGTTATCCTGCTCTGACATAACTAAATTAGACCTCTGCTTTTGACTGTCAAAAGGAAATAACCTCATAGCATTTGCTTTGAGATGTGGATCAGCCTTTGACTGCAAAAGGTGTTTTCACTTAATAACAACAACTAATATTTATCACATGTTCATTATATGTGAAGTCTCTTCTAACTACTTTGAATGTATTTATTTAATAACCCCATGAGGTGGGTACTCTTAGCTTCATTGTACAGATGGGGAAACTGAGGTACAGAGATTCAGTAAATTGTTCAAAGTCACAACTAGAGCAGTCGGGCCAGGATTGGAACCAGGCAGTTCATCCCCAGAGTCCCTACTTTTAGCCCAACTTAATGAGTTTCTTCTATTAAGGCCAGTTCTATTTTTCACACCTTTGTGGAGGATTTGGGAACCATAAACCAGGGCGTAAACTGGAGCTAGCAGGAAGCACAAGATAAACTGCCAGCTGGGCAAGACAGTGTTAGTCATCCCTCTGTAGAACCATTTATCAGCAGTGAAATTGTATGATTTGCATATCAAGGGCCTGGCAGCTAACCTTTCTTAAAGGAACTGGGGCAAGCCAGGGTGATGCAATTGGGACTTCGAACACCCTGAGGAAGAGGAAATGGTCTGGACCTCATGCAGTCCTATAACCCCATCTGAACCTCCAGGGTAACCTCTGAGCCCCAGTGGAGTTTTCTATCATTTCCTCCCTCTGCATAGAGAAGTTTCTTCTTTTCCTGCTTCAGTAACTCTTGGCCACCCACTGCTTGTGCAAGATCCTCAAGAAGGTGTGCTCCTGGAGGTCTTGGCAGCTGTGGGTTCATAGCTACACAGCTGGGGTAATCTGGTAGCAAAAAAAGAGCAAAAAATGAAAACATCCTATTTGTCTTTTATTGATCATAGTTGGGCCCACATTGCTTAGAAAATAATCCAGCCTCAGATTATGCCTTGGCCATTTTATGGAATAATATCATAAAGTTTTATATCTTCTTTAGTCTCAGGTTTATTCATCCTAGTTGCTTAATCTGGCAGTGTTGACTTAAAATGACTAGACAGCCCCCTGGGATTGTCCCTGGTGCCACATCACACTGGGCCCTACAGCTTCTCATTTTATGTCATCTGAGGATAAGACTCTAATACAACCTTAGACATTTGCAATGGAAATAAGCTCTGTGGTCATATGTTCCTCTGAGCTGAGTTGCAGGTTGGACAGATCAGGCCAGAGCACAGCTATAAACAGAGCTTTGTAGTTTCCATTTCCTCCTGTGTTGAATTAGAACCAAAGTGAGGTGCCACCCAGGCTTCAGCCTGTCCCGCCCCACCCCTTGCACTCCCTTGTTAGCTGTTCTTTCTCATCTCTTTCTTCCTTCCTCACTCTTCATGCCCCAGGGCAGTAAGTTGGATTCCTCTACTACTTGATTTTCAGAGCCAAACCCGCTCTCTGTCCAGTGTTCCAACCACCATCCATGCCATCTTGGTTTGCATATTTAGTCTATAGACTATTATTGAGAGCCCAGAAATGCAGCCACTTTCCCACGCATTCCTGACTCTTC